CCATCTCCCAGCAGGAACTTGAGCGTTAATGGCTGAAGTGGAAGGTGCTCGTTGGCACAGAAAGCCGAGAAGAGTGGACCAAGCCGCACATGGATGCTGCTCGCAGCAGTTTTACCCATGCAGGAGCACTCCAGACCGAATTCACACTTGGTTTGTTGCTGCTTGGATTGAGAGGCACCCAGATCTGCTTCTGTTGGGCATTTCCAAACGCGGGTCCTTCCAAGCCCACCAGCTTTGCACTTAGAGGCCCTTTCCACTGAAAGCCCATAGTGGGATTCATATTGCTTCCTGCAAGGCTGGTATTCCTAATCTCCCTGGGCTTCTTTTCTCCATGTATAATGAGGATTATGGATTAATTCCTGTCTCACAAGGGGGTGCTGTGGGGATTGAGAGGGTTAAGGCGCTCAGATAGCATTGCAAGAAGGCTATTACAAACCCTTCAAGAGAGGGGGCCAGTAAAACCCCACTGCTGTTTGCAGACTGCTTACAACCGTACTTTACAATCAGCTTCCCTTAACTGGGAGGCAATTTTCTCACCAGTTCAGATTTAATATCCTCTCCAGCTGCTGGCCCTATCCAGAGAACAGCAGGACAGGAGTGACTATCAGCACTGAATTGCCTTTCAAAAGGATAGTCCTTTCAGATCTGAAGGAGTGTCCGCTGTCTGTACAGTGTCTACGTGTGCATACGTATGTGTGTTCATGTAAGCATGTAGGAGGTTGTATCAGGAGAGCTCAGAAGTGAAGCCAAGCAAAGAATCAGCTCAGGAAGCCCTTTGCTCCTCTGATCCCTCATTGTTGACTGCGCTGCAGACACATTTCATGTGTTTACAGATGAAAAGGCAAAAACAAAACCGATGCTGGCTTTAACACTGCCTTCAGCACAGCCTCCTGCACGGATTCAAAATGTTTATAAACACAGAACTCAATGCAATCAGCGCTGCAGCAAGTAACACACCAGGTACGCAGCGGAGACACAAGTGTCAACTGCACGCCCAGCTCAGAACGACAGGCCTCTGCTGGGGGCTCCTGATCAAGCAAAAGCAGCTGAAAAACCCCACAGAGGAATCTTTTCGAGAGCATTTCCTCCTCCCCTTCCTCCCCTCTGGTAATAATCAGTGTATGAAATTATATAAGATGTCCATTCAAGTCCAAGAGCCTTTCAAGTTGCAGAGCTCTGCCAGACAGTGCGTGTGCAGGGAGCCACTGGAGAGTGGCCACGGCTGCAGAAGGGGAGCAGAGGCACAGCCCCAGACATCAGGGAGGAACTGGAGTTCACCAGTGTGGGGGAATTCCTGGGTGACATTTCCTCCTCCGTGGCAGCCCCGAGGATGGAAGCGAAGTGGTCCCCTGAGGGCAATCCATCAGCTCAGCCCCATTGTTCCTGAGCATGTGCTGTGCTCACCCCAGAGCAGATAGGAGCTGCATTTCCAAAGATTTGGATGAGCCATTTGCCCTGATTCCAGCCCGGCCCCCGGGCGAAAGGATGTGAATCAGCTCGCCAGGAAAGACCCCATCCAAAGGCATTGTGTCACTGCAGAACCCTTACCAAACCCATTCCTGTGTCCTCCAGCACGCTGCCAGAAGACTGCGCTCAACCACGTTAGCCACTGGGGAGGGACACGCGAAATGTCCTAGTACAGCAGGTTGCTGCAGAGACGTTACCTCACATGTCAGCATCAGCAGAAAACTTGTGCTGGCTGCACAGCCAAAACGCTGGGCGGACAGAACAGTGCTCAGCTACAAGCAAGCCTTGTTTTTCTCCCAGCCAAATGTTGTTTCATGCTTTAATGGCAATTTTCAAGAACCGTATTAGCATGACAACTTATGTAAGTGTCAGCCAAGCAACTACACCGTTTCTAGTATCTGTGCCTAAGACAGATTTCACAGGGGTGTAAGAGGAAGGGGCTGGTGTAACTGTCGCATCTCCGTTCTGACTGCTCGTCGCTATCTGAAACGAGTCTTATGCCACCCCTGAACATCAAGAGTGGGTAAATATCCCTTCTGTACAGCATTAGGAATGATTTTCCCCATTTTCCCATTGTGGAAGGGGGATTCCTCACAGGCTGTCTGAAGCACCAGGTAGGTTGTTCTTGTCTCTCTTTGTTTCTTATTCATAGTGGAATATGTTTATAGAGTCATGAAAGGGATTTCTGAGCATCAGAGTGGTTCGCGTGTCCCCACACTGAGTGGAAAGGATGGGCAGCCTCTGAAACCCATGCCCTACTATTGCAGGTACTATGGTATATAAAGTAGATAGGGCTCCTCCATCACATCTCTGGCTGGGATGCACTTTAGAAACCTACTGCTGCGAGACAAGGCACAAAGCAATCGGCTAAACCAGCTGATACGGCAAAGCAGAAGGCAGCATCATCAGAGGACATGCACACAGAGACCTCCCTAAACCCAAAAAATCAGTGTGATGCAATTAAATATGTTACATATTATGCTCTTCCTCCCCTGGAAACGACAAAAACCTGCCAAACTGAAGTATTCTGGTCCTGCCTTTCCTGCTCATGCACAAGTCCCCTTGGGCTTCACGGAAATTTTGGACTCACAAAAAGCTGCAGAACAGGGGCCCCATGGCACTGTGTAATAAATCTTAGAAGTTAACAGCCAGAACTGTGCCAAATGTGATGGGTTTTGCTTTGCACAGGATCGGGAAAATAATACATTCTGGCTCAATCAGTTAGGCCTGATGCACCAGGGCTAATGTTCTACTGCTGCTGCTGCTAATGGAGTTATGTTTTTGTCTCAAATGCTTGAGGTCTGTGATTTGAAAGCCCGAGGCCCAACGCTCTATCAAATCTCCCCCTATTCTTGAAGGGAAATCTTAATCGTACCCCAGATGGAGCAGTGAAATGTCAGCTTGCTTAGATCAAGCTATGATCAATCCTGAGGTTTTCCTTTGGTGATTGATCTCAGTGTGCAACAAACCAAGAGGGAATTCCCTGCTTTGGCCATGTCTGTTCTGTGTCACCCCAAAACCCCCAGGAACAGCGTTCCCCTTCCTAGCAATCACAGTGAATGACTCGATGAATTCCAGTGTTTGCCAAACCATCGCTGCTCCCCTCGGCCAAGCAGCACCAAAGGGTTGCCAAGGGTGAGAAGAGACCTGCCTGGCGTACTGCATAATCACTGCTTTGGCTATTCTCTTCCTTTTCATACAGGAAAACCTCTAGATGCTGGCCCTCAATGTGTGAAGCAGATGCCTCTGCCTGGATTCACATAAAGTTTAGAACAATAGTGCTGAGGTCTGGCCTGCCCCATGCACCTCAGGTGCCAGTGGCAACACACTAAAAGGGAGATAGGAGAGTATAACACTGGGGAAAATGAAGTTGGAACATTGTGCGATGTAGGGGACTCGATTGCAACTTAGAGAGACCTGCCCAGGGGAGTAATGTCTCATTGGAGCATCTCTTTAATGGAGTCGGGAAAAGGAATAATGAGATTTTATGGTTTAAAGGTGAAACCAGATAGATAAACACTCCAAGGACAGGAAAATCAACCGCTGAAAAACCTGTTGCGAGGATGCCAGGAGCTCTCCGTATCTTGTCTTGCCACAAGGACAGGCTGCTCCTAGCTCTGGCCTTGGAGCTTTACACAAGAGGCAGAAGTCATCAGAGCAAGCTCAGCGTCCGCTTCATAAGCAGGATGTCCAGAGGAATCCCAGTGGCCTTAAAGTCTATGAATCTATTAACTAAACCCCATTACTACGTAATAACTTTTGTTATTTTGGAACAAACCTTGTATCTGGCTAATCCGCTTTGTTACAGAGCTGCCCATCCTTCCCTCGAACAGGAATTAACTTCTAAAGGAATTAAAAGAAGGAGGAGACTGCTGAAGGGGTCCTTAGAGATATCTTTTTATAGCTGCTGCCTGCCCCCCCTTTCCCTTTTCCACTATGTGTGGTATCCTTCCCCACTGATTCTGTCCTTTTCTGCTTGCCAGGCATTGATTTGTTCCCGTGTTGTTCTAATGGAGCTTGAAATCAACATGACTTTGTTGTTGGTTGTTGTCATTGTTGTTCACATCTTTGTTTGGGGTTCAGCATCCTTGTGGAGGCCAGGGCAGCTCAGGAGCTGGCATTAGCAGGCTAAATACCTCCTTAGCAAGAGATCCACAAAGGCTGCGTCTGTGTCCACATAATAAGGGCTGTTACAAAGCACAGCAAAGCAGTGCCTCCCTCCTCCAGTGCATCAGCCCCTTGTGCTGATTCTGAATCCCCTCGCTTATCAGCGCACACGCAACGTGTCCAGAACAAGGTCCTTCTTTCAGTAGGCCCCACGAAAACACTGTGTATTCTTTAGGGTCTGCACCCAAAGCATTTATGAGTGCAAACCTAGATGCTATCTGATAGCCGCGTCTATCTCCCCGGCGGTTTAGGTAAGGCATCTTTGCACGCCGGATCAATGCTGCTGCCCCCGCCAGCAGCCACGGCCCAGGCGTTCCACCATCCCTACGGGAATTCGGAAACCAAGCCTCGAGTCCACAACCCCTGGGTGCAGAGCACCTTATGAAACGCGACGGAGCGGCGCCCTGGGGCCCCCAGGTTGCCGCCTGCAAGTACGCCGGACACTCTCCGAACAAAGGCCAGCTGCCAACAGCAGCCGGCTGACGGGAGGGGGGCGGAAGGCGAGGAGAGGCAGGAAGGGGAGGAGAGGGGAGGGGAGGCCGGGGCACGCCGGTACCCCCGACCCCTCCGCAGGCCGAGGCGGGCAGCGGCCATCCCCGCGGCGGGGCGGCTGCCGGAGCGCGGCGCTCGCTAAGGGTTAACGCTGCGCCCTCCTTCCGCTGAGCGCTGACATCACGCGGGAGAGGGCGAGCGCTGCCGCCGCCCCCCCCCCTCCCTTGCCGCCCGGGACCGTGCGTGCGTGTGGAGCCGAGCGGAGCCGCCGGCCGTGCCTCGCAGCCCGGGCACCCCGCATCCCCCGCCCCGCGGCCGGCCCGGCCCCGCGCCCACCGCCCGGCCATGGAGCGCCGCACCCGGCCCGCCGCCGCCGTCGCCTGAGCAGCCCGGCAAGCGGAGGGCAGGCAGCGGGCGGGGGCTGCCGAGCCCCGCCGCTGGAGCCACGGGACCGCCGCGCTGCGAGCGGCGGCTGCAGCCCGCCGAGGGCTCTCCCTCGCTTTTCGCGATTCCTTTTTCCTGCCCCCCTTCCTCTTCGTTTTCCTTTTTTCCTTCCCTTTTTTATTCCCCCCCCCTCCCTTCCCTCCCCACCGCATTTTTCCGCCCGCCCGGCTCTGCGGCCGTGCTCGCTTCCCGGAGGAAGGCACCGCGCTTGCCCCGGCGCCCGAGGACAGGGGCCCCGCGTCCCGCCGAGCCCCAGGGCCCCTGCGGATGTGCGAAGCTCTCCTCCGGCCGCCGTCCTCCCGCCGGGCGCAGCACCTCTTTGTCCTCCCGCACCTACAGTTTTTCAATCCTGATTCCCCTTAAGCAGACCTGAACTTAAACCACCGGGGTCCGGGAGGGGTTTTGCGGGGGGTGGGCCCAGCGGCGCTGCCAGACCGACCCCTGCCCATTTCTCCTAAGGAACTCTCATGGCTTCACGGCTGCAGACAAGTTGCCGTGCATCTCGGTGGACTATCGGAGTTTGCATCCTGGCGGCCGCGCTCCTACCAGGTGAGCCGCTGCCGGCCGGTCCCCCCGGGAGGCGGTGGGCTCTGCCGGGGCGCTGCGGGGTGCCGGTGGTGGTGGGGGGGGGGGGAAACGGGGTGCGGGTAGGGGTGGGATCGGCTTTTGTGGGGTGCGCGCCCGGGTCTGGAGCAGGTGTGGAAGCATCTGCGTGAGGGCGGGAGGGAGTCGGGGCCGGTTTCATCGCTGGCTTGGAAAGGAACAACACGATCGTTTGTTTTGGAAGCAGCTGCAGGCAGTGGGCTCCGGAGTCCTGGGAGCTGAGGCCGTTTGTTTGCTTTTTGGATCGAGCAGCGTCTAGCGAGACATAACAGCCAGGGAGAGAGAGCCACCCGGCTGGGGAGTGAGCACAGATGTTTCGGAAGGAGAGAAAGGAAGGGTTTAGCTGTCCAGCATCCCCGAAACCCCCGTTCCCCTCAGCACACACACACACTTCCCACGGGCTCTTTTGTGGAGGGGATGGGCTGCTAACCGGGTTTTAGACCTTCCTTTCACTGCTTTTGCACTCGGGTGTCTTGGTGGTGTCTGAGCCATCCCTTTGGTTCTGATCCATCCCTGGGAAGGAGGAGGTGGGCAAAGGTTTGGATCGACTCTCCGCGGCTCATTTGACCCACCCGGGCGGTTGCAGAACAGCCCCTGTGTCCCCACCCCAGGGCTCGGTCCTGCCCCGTTTGTTCTGTCCTGCACACCTCTTTGAAGTGAAAGAGTGACCCACTTTGCAAAGTGCCCTGCGGGCGACTCTTCTGCTCCAGTGCAGAGTGGGTTAATGCCATCCTGGAGGGCTTTCCGGAATCGGCTGTAGGAGACATGGAAGGGGGACCCTCAGTCTGGGTTTACAGTGCTTGTGAATGAGCTGGGAAGTGCAAATAGGACCGATGTTTGCCTTGTTGAGGCTGAGCTCGTGGTGGCTGGGTCTGGAGTGCTGGTGGCTGACACATGTGCCACCCCTGGGTCGGTACACAGCCTTCTGCAGGGCTACGAGGCAGCCTGTGCCTGCAGAAGGAGTGGGATCTGCAGCTGGAGAGAAGCTGCAGCGAAAGCAGGGTGAAATTGCCTCCGCTCGCCCTCTCATTGGGCTGGGGCAGCATTCTAGAGAGGCAGCCAGGCTGGCTGGGCTGGGACTGAAACGTGGCTGCAGTTAACAAGGTCTGGGCCAAAGGACCGATCATCAGTGCCAGGGCCCATGGGTCTCTGGCGCTAGCAAAGACAGAGGTGATTACATCCAGTGCATGGGAGAGCAACAGAGCACAGTGACTCAATGGTCCAGCTAAAATGGATGAGGACAGAGGTGAAATGGCAGGGGATGGCAGTCGTGAAACCAGGGAGACTCTGAGATGAAAAAGGTTGAGTGATGAGAAAACAGGTCTGGGTATACCTCTGTATTCCTAGGACAAAGAGATCTGCCGTGCATTACAGAAAGAGGTGATGGAAGGGAGAGCCTCAGGCTCTCTGCACTCCTCTGCTTCCAGGCAGGTGCCTGGCTGCGCTCTGGTTCCTCACAAGGAGTCTCACAACTTTCCATGCCATTCTTCACCTGGTCTTCCCTCCTTCTCATCCCTCCACCAAGCAGCCTCCTGCAGGCAACCCTCCCCACAACCCTTATGAAGGGCATTAGAGCTGCAGTAATGCTGAAGTGACTGTGCTGGGTAAACCAAAAGGGGTTTTTGCTCCCTCAGTGCCTCTAGGAATAGCTTTCACCAAGGAGACACACAGACAGTGACCCTGGCACAGCCTGGTATCTCACCTTGTGCTGCCAAGAAAGGCTTTTTTCCCCCCCCCCATCCTATTTTTGGCTGTTCTCAAGGCTTTGCTGCCAGCAGTCAGGCAAACATCTCCTGCCACTCTGCAGTAGCCTGGTAGTTTGTCTTGCACTGTCCCGCTGACAGCTCTGCCAGGATAAGCCAGTGGTGCATCTAGTGGTGCCTTGCCAAGCGAAGGGTACAGCCAGCTCTGCAATGCTCCGGGAAGATAATCCTTCCCGACCCCAATCCATGCTCACCGAGTACCCCGCAGCCTGTGTGGGTGGGACGTGGCTGGACCAGTTTAGTGGTGGATGCACCACGTTTGCAGGAACGACTGATCCCATGGTGTATGTTTCCTCGTTCATTTGTGCTCTTAGTTGTGCTGTGGATGCATCCCAGAGCTGCAGGGAAGGACCAGCACAATGCTGTGCTAGCTGCTGCACAAAGCCACGGCAGCCTGACGGTCCTTACTAAAGCACAGGTCTGCCATACTGAGGTATGTAGTTCCTCAAGTTTGCAATGCATTGGGCCCAAATTGGCTGAGGATATATATATACACACATATATATACACACACGCATATATATATATATAACAAGCCATATGTAAGCTTTGAATCAGTGGCTGTGGACTTTGTTGGAAACTGTGATTTGGTACCAAGCAGCCAAGAAGGATGAGAGGAAGGCAGGAGACACTACCTGCTTTCTGGAAAACCCTTCATGCTCCCCTTCATCTTGTTCCAATCCACTTATGCCGCCTCCCTCCCCCTTCTGACAATGTTAGCTTTTTTTTCTGATAAGGAAATAAAAGTTCCTTGCTGTAAAAGCTATAAAGGAGCCCCTTATAAAAATCTGCTTTACAAATTGTCTTTAATGTGATCGGCTCAATCGTCCAGAACGGATTCAATTCAGTGCTCCTGCAGCCTTCCATGCAGATCTGCCTGCCTATCCGCTTGGAACCATTAACCAGGTATCAACTCAGGCTACAGCATTAGGGCTTCAGGATACTGATGTGAGATGCAAGGCAGATCTTTAGAGGTTAGGAACACTTGCGGTTGAATTTATGCTTTCCAAGTCTTAGCAATCTGTTTATCCCCGCCATGAAACTCAGTACAGCTTGAGATGCAACCAGGCAGAGAAGAGGCATTCATCTTGTGCTTGGTCCTGCATCTGCAGACCCGGGCCTCTGTTTCCAAGCTTTCCGCTCCGTCTGTGGGCAAATTCCTGTCTGCTGTCACTGGGCTACCTCTTGGGCTCTGAGAGGGGCCTGTGAGTCTCAGTTTGCAAAGTGCTTTGAGATCCCCAGCAGGGGAGAGCTGGAGAGGTGTCTGAGCCTTTGACACAGGGTTTTTCCATCACGGCACTTGAAAGCAGCATTGACTGAGCCCAAGTGACCCAGAGGCCTTGGGTCAAACTTGGCTGCAGCTGGATGGGGGGGGGGGAGCTCCTTTTTGGGGAGGTACGACAGCAATGTGGAGTGCTGGGAATAGTCACAGTGTGTCACTGCAGGATCTGGTCCATCTTGTACTCTTGAGCTGCTTTACTGTCCTAACGCAGCCAGAAAGCTGCCAGAGTTGTGTTCAGCCTTTGGTTTAAGTTCTTGGTTTGTGATTTTTCCTTCCTCCCAAAACTCAGAAGCGGCATCGGGCTATTTCAGGAAGCAGAGGTGCACCTTCTGCTGGCGTTTTCTCATTAAAGCTCGCTCGTTGCAGTGGAACCAACCCGCCGAGTTCTAACCTGGTGCGAATTGATGAGCTCATGTATGTGTCAGTGTGGGTGAGGCGGCAGGCTGTATTGAGAGCCAGCTCAGCCCACAAGCAGGAGGGTGTCTGCCCCATGGCCAGAGCCAGAGGACGGCTGTGGTTAATGCTATTTGCTCTCTGAACCGGCAGCGTTAATCAAGCAAGAGCTCCCAGGCCAGTGCACACGGATCCATTTGCAAATAGATGGAGAGAAGCAGGGGCATTAGCACATCCAGCAGCACTTCTAGCGTGAGGCAAATGCTCAACATTAGCCGGTGGCTGACAAGATGCCGGTGCTGGTGGAGCCTGGCACATCTCTCTCCTCGCATCACCCCTCCTCTGGGTTGCAGCTGCACCAGCCACAAAGCTAAGTTTAAAGGCAGGCAGCAGGAGGATGCTTTGGGCACCGCTCGCACCTCGGCTGAATCACGAAGGGAACCAGAAGAGCCGGTTGTCGTGACCTGCTTCCCAGGCCTGCGTTTCCACCGGCACCCCTTGCCCTCTGCTAGCGCTGCTAAGGGTAGGGACAGCCCATCATATGGTGCCTGTGAATGCCGCAGGGATGCGTTGGTAAGACCTCAGATAGAATGGCCGCAACCCTCTAAGAAAAGGCTTGCATCTTGCAGCATCATTGCTTGAGGTCATGATGGCTCTTGCTCAGTCCTTTTAACAGGCCATCAGCAAGGCATATCAGTGCAAAAAGCAGAAACAAATGAGGGAAGGACAAAGGTACTCCCGTCTGAGCGAGCCCTAGAGATCTTCTTGCTTTCTCAACTACGTCAGACTAAATCAGGGCTGCTCTGATGCAGGGTGAGCTCGAGCCGCCAGCCACTGGAGCTGGGACCCAGTTTGCATTTGAGACACCTCTTGTGTTAATTACCAGAGCTCAGCCATCCCAGCGCAGAGACTTCAGAGCTCTGCAGTGAGGGTTCCCTAACCCAGATTATTGTTCCAGGTGAAGTTTTTTTAACTAAGGAATGACAGCTCTCATGAGACGCACCTCTCTTTTCCTCCTGCCTGCTGTTGAGATGCAGTTATTCTCCTGGCCTTACAGTTTTCTTCACTTCTCCAGTAAAGGTTTAGTCCAGCCTAGGTTGATGCACTTCACCCTTTTTGAGCACAATAGGCACGTGCCCTCCCAGCTTGGTTTTCAAGGGGAACCCCTCAGCTCCATAGCAGAAGAGAAACTCTTGCCTGACCTGCTCAAATACAGAAGTATCATCCCTGGGAGGAAGGACAGTTTCCCCTCTGTGGCAGCCAGACAGGCACCTCTGTGTCCTTCCAGCGTGCCACCATGCGAGGTTTAAAGTCCTGCTTTTACAACCCTGTCTATATCACACATAGAAATGGGAAGTGAAATTTGCCCTTCGCAGCACTGTTACCTTACATGCCCTATGCTGTCATTTCTGTGTGTCCCTGTCTCCATGGGCACCCAAAGAAGCGTGGGGAGTTCAGTGCCTTGCTGTCCGCTGTTGCTCCCCGTCTCTGGGGCTGATGCAGCAGGC